GAGGTGTCTGTTGTAATGTAGTGGTATTGCAAAGTCTTTATGTTAGCATACACTTTGTCAGAGTGTGCTTTCCCTAAATCTTTCTCCTTTCCCCACCAGGCTTAACTCCAAGTGGGACCTCAGGAGGTTATGTAAGACCGTGGGAGCTGTAGCGCTGCCCCGGATGGTGAGTGCCTTCCTGTTTTGTTCAGATCAGCTGTATGAAGCATAATAAATCACACCGTTACATCATGTATAATGCTGCTTTTCTGCTTTCTTAGACGGCCCCAACTCCAGAGGAGATGGGTCACTGCGACAACGTGTACCTGACAGAGGTGGGGGACACTCAGGTGGTGGTCTTCAAACACGGTAAATCATCGTTCTTTGCTCCAGCTTCGTGAGTCTTCATTTTAAACCGAATCTTTGCACCATGTGAGTTTTAAGCTCAACTCATTGTTTATTTCAAACAGAGAAAGAGGACTGTACCATCTCAACGGTGGTGATCAGAGGCTCCACTGACAACCTGATGGATGACATTGAGAGGGCTGTAGATGACGGAGTCAACACCTTCAAGGTTCTGGTCAGGGTAAGTCAACACAGTAAACCACTGTAGGATTTTTGCAAGTTCAGCATGAGCTGAACCCTTTAATTTTTCTACGTACTGCTTGGTCTGCACACTGGTTACAGTTTCTGTGTCATTCACCATCTCTAGGACAAGCGACTGGTACCTGGAGCAGGAGCCACTGAGATTGAGTTGGCCAGACAGATCACCTCATATGGAGAGGTACATGGATTTTAGTGCATACGCTGAAGTGCAGCAGGTTCAGACTAATGCCTCTCCTCTTGGTTTTTGCTCTTTACTGAATCATTGGCAGATAAATTGGAGAAACATAACCTCTGTTTTTTTTTCCCCTCTCTGTAGTCCTGCCCGGGACTGGAGCAGTACGCCATTAAGAAGTTTGCTGAAGCCTTCGAGGCTTTGCCACGAGCGCTGGCTGAGAACTCCGGTGTGAAGGGAAGCGAGCTCATCTCCAAACTGTACTCTGCGCATCACGAGGGAAACAAAAACATGGGCTTCGACATCGAGGTGTGTACATTTAGTTTGTGGCTACTTACCTTCAAAAATGTGTGCAAGTACAAAAATTAATTTATTTTTGAATGTGTTGTGCTACATGTTTCTGTGTTTGCTTCGGATGACTGATGATGTGGATGTGATGCTGTCTTTAGGGAGAGGGCCCCGCCATCAAAGACATGCTTGAAGCCGGCATCCTGGAGCCTTACCTGGTCAAATACTGGGGCGTCAAACTGGCTACCAACGCTGCCATCACAGTACTGAGAGTTGACCAGGTGTGTACAAGACCTCACAAATACTCACGACACACAGATGATCAAAAGCAGCCACAAAGAATGAAATATTTTATGTGTGTGAAAGTAAACTACAGTGAAAATGGTCAAGAAACATGTTACCCAGTGCAACTGTATTAATGTGTTTTTGATAGTTTTTGGACAACACTGCAGCAGGGTTTATGTTGCTGGTCCACATGTCCTAGAGGTTTTCAGTGTCCCTGACAAATAGAAGAAATCCGTTTATTGAGGTTAAAAACTGTCATCACAGTATGAAGGCATATAGATTCATGATATTTGTTATTTTAAAAGTAGGCTACTTTTGCTTATAAACTATATTCCAAATAAATTATGTCCCCTCAATAGACTCAAGTGCAGAAATAAAGCTATTTTGACACAGCCATATGTTAATTGGGGCAACACATTAACACCAAAATTCAGCTTTAGGTATATATATTCTCAGATTAAAAAAGCAAACAAAAATATGCGTTGGCCTCTCTGGCTCATTACATTTTAACTACAGCGTGCTGCTGCCGACTTGAAATCAATCAATTTCTTTTCATTGTAGGCTTTCTCTGGAGTTAAATGGAATAAAAACTCTTGGAGAAATGGAAAAATAACCATAACCTATTACTGGCTCATATAATTTTACCTCTTAAACTTTTTGCCGCAGTGAAGCGTGCAGCTACTGACTTGAAGGGCGCCAAGTGTTTGTGGTCTTCTGATGTTGAAAATAACAAAAATATACAATATTCCCTCATCCTTTCAACCATACTGCAGACAATATTTATGGTTAGGAGCATTTGTAAATGTTTTTGTATTTAATGACTGAATCTAATATCATAAGGATTTTGATTTACTCTGGGAGGTTTTTACCATTAGGATTTGAATTGTTAAACAAAGCCGTATCTTTATCTGTGGAGTTGAGCAGAAGCAGGTCTGTGCCTTTGCATTCAAGAATCGTATGTATTTATTTGTGTTTCTTAACAAAGGATTCAGCTTTACATTTTCCCTACCTGGTTTATGTACACACAAAGCATTTTTTTTTCTTTAAAATTGTATTTTCTAGTTGTTTATAATTTGATATCAAGCTCAGAATCAGAAAAGGATTTACTGACAATGTTTCCACTTACAAGGAATTTCCTTTGGTTTTTAGTGCATACATTAAACAGAATTAATATACTAAGAGGAATAAAATTAAGGCAAAGTACTGTAACACTTAAGGACTTATATATAGAGTGGAAAAATGTGCAATAAAAAATGCAAAGATAGTTTTAAAATGCACTATAACACAACAAATATGTGCAGTGTAGCTGATTCAGAATAAGCTGTACAGTTTGTGCAGGATGTGCAAAAATATTAAGCAAAAATACTAAGCAAACAAATGTGTGCAGTGTGCAAAGATTATAGTCCAAGATTGGTGTTAATGTAACAATGATAGTTTAAGAATCTGTGTTAGTGCAGGTCCCAGGCCTTGTTAATGAGGCTAAATGCAGTCAAGAAGAAACAGTATTTGTGGCATGAGGCGTTGGCTCTGATGGACCCCAGCCTCCTGCCAGAGGAGCTTACAAAGCTCACGATGCTCTTACATTCAGCAGGTGAAGTGTTTTTGGAGAGGTCAATGTTGTAGTCTCCAGGTAGTTGATGTCAGTGTGTGTATATATGTGCGATGCAGATCATCATGGCTAAGGCTGCAGGGGGACCTGTAGCTCCCAAGCAGAGAGGCCACTGGGACAAGGACGATTGGGAGGAAGCACCTGAAAAGTTTGACACTCACCATTAGAGGGCGCACACACACCCTCCGCCAGTAGGTCCTGGAATGTGTGTGTGTGTTTGGCTCACACGGATGTACTCACTCGCTCACGGGACACTGAAGTTTTGATATGTGTGTGGTTTTTTTGCCTGCCACTACTAACACTGGGTGTGATACAGAATTCAATGCAGAGGAATGTACAGCTGCAGCATTCAGCCACTTCTCTTGTGTTTTTGATAATACCAAGCGTGTCACTGACAGCAGACTAAATCACTTTGAGTCACAAAATAGATACAGTATGGTTTGATAGCATGCTGCATGCACTCATGAACTCTTTTCATTGCAGTGGACATTGTCAGGCAAGTACAGAATTTGAAAATGTTGCATGTAATGTAGTTTAATAGAAATGGATCATGTAAAGAAGATGAGATCTGAAGCTCTGGGGCCCCTCCAATCACTGTGAAGCCTTTTGTCTTCACCAGACACAGCTGGAGCCTCTAGATCACAGCCCTTTATTCAGTTACCAGCAGTCTGAGATTATTTACACCACCTTCAGGAAAATCCTAGATGATGATCATAAACTTCACCCTCAGTACAGAGAGCCTGAAATGCTGTGATTTGTCCCACAATTGAACGTAACGGAATGGGGGTTTGATCTTTATTTTGTTAAAGACATTTTATACTTCAGTTTTAAAGGCATTAACTGCATTTTTCTACTGTAGCACAGTTTCTCTTACAGCATGCATGTTGCCATATGAGCTCATGAATATTTCATAGACCCTCTTGGCATCTGTAGGGATTTAAATCTCCTCTTTTACTTTAAAATATATAGGCTAAAATCATTACATGAGCACACAAGATTTAGCAAGAATTTTGGCCTCAGTTTGATTATTTCTATGTGTTTGTGCTGTGACAAACATTTCACTAATGCTAATTACTGTCTAACAGGTACGCCTTTGTATCATAGCTGAACCTCCGAGCCCGAGCCTGCTGCGTGGATCTCAGTTTTTTTAATTTCCATCAAGAAACAACTGACCGACTGCTGTCCCTTCTCATTTCAGATCATCATGGCCAAACCAGCAGGGGGACCCAAACCTCCCCAGGGCAGGAAGGACTTTGATGAGGATGACTGAATCTGATGCCCTCCAGCTGATGCCCCTTTAACCCTGAAAGCTCCCACATGGATTGACAAAAAAACCTTTTCTACTTGTTTATTTAAAGCTCAACAGTTTGGTTTATTTTGTAGAAATGACCACGCATTGGTTAACAGATATGTGAAAGTTAAATGTATGGATGGCACTGTTTGCTCTTTGTGTTCTTAGACCCAAATAAACGGCACTTGGGCTGTCATGTTTTTGTTTGGAGTCTGTTTTTACTCAATTGTGACACTCAGCCACATTGTGTCGTTGATTTATCCGTTTAGGAATTTGTCTTGAAGAGACTGATTGATTTCCTGCCTTGATTTTATTTTTATGATCATTCAATGAGGGGAAATGGTCTTTGTGCCTGTACCGCCCAGTTCTGTCCCATCCCAGGGAGCTCATAAATCAGCACCATGCTGAGCTGCCATAATCACGCATGAATTTACCTTTGGTGATGCCCTGTGGGTTTGCTCTTAACATCATGCTGAGGCAGCAGAAATTATGCATGCCCTGGTTTATTTTTAGAACAAGTGAAATGAAGAATTGAATGGAGAGGTCTGTTGGAGATCTATCACTGCAGAGTGCATTTGTAGATTTATTGATGCATGCATTTGTTTGCTCTCTGCAAACAAATTAAACAGCCATGAGGTGCGCTGTGCAAATAATGCAAACGATAACAGAGATAGTCACTTATTTGTTGAATCGATGTCTGCGGCTGTGATCACTTGGAGCAGCAGGGGGAGCTGAACTCCACCAGGTTGCAGTCTCATTGGATGGAGGAGATCAAGATGTGGGCGGATTTGCGCTGACGTTGCCCATACTCGGGATTAACTTGTTTTTATGTCGCCATATCTTATCACATTTTGCACCGGGATAGCCTGATCTGCTGCAGATTGTTGATACAGAGTACAAGCAAGCGTTTTCAAACCTTAAATTAGTCTGAGTGTTGTGCGTAAAAGTGTTGACGGGCCACCGTGGGGGCGCGCAGGACGATGTGAGGTGCCTGCACGAGGAGCAGACGTCGCACTGAGTTTGCAGTGCTGATGTCCTGTCACACTGATGGGGGCCGACGGCAGTAAAAACAGGAAGGTGAGTTGAATGAAATTCCTGGTTGCTAAGGTGTGACGCATGTAGTGGGGGTTCCCTGTTTCCATGGCGATGATTTTGTTCCCTAAATCACCAGGCAGCAGCGACTGTGCTTTAACATGTCTTTTCTTTGCAGAATAATAAACTAAAGTGTGGTCAGATTGCATGTTTTATAACAAATAATAAATATACTTTATGTTATCCATTAAAATCTTTATTTTGTCTCCAAAAGTGCTGTAATCTTTATGCTTTTACTCTGAAGGCCAAATCTTTACGCTTCCGGTATTAACATCTGAAATCTACTGGCAATTGAGCGCCTTTAAACACACAGTGTTCAAGTTAAATCCCAACATTGCCCAGTCTCTTGTCAACTGTCAGGCGGATGTCGCACTGATGGCAGTTGTTTCTGCTGATGGATGTGGCCCCTCATTTGGCTCTGATGATAATAACATCCTACATGGCTGATTACACACATCTTGCACCACAGAGCATCAGATCTGTCGTGCAGCCCAGGGGAAGAGAGGGGGGAAGAGGGGTTGTATGACCGAGTGACTGCAGATTGGATGTAGACCATGCAATTTTTTTCTCTTGATGATCAGAGATGAGAGAGGGGATGGTTAAGGGACTGTTCGTTATTTATGAGGGGGGAAGGGTGGTGCAAAAAAGGGAAGGCAGGTCAAATCATTTCTGAAGCACTGGGGAGGGAGTTATATTTTTTTATTTTGGCTTAGGGAAGGGGCATACTAATTTAAATGGTTGTACTTTGTAAGAAAAACTAAAAATTACCAAAATTACACCATTATCATGGTCAGAAACTGTAAAAACAGAAATTAGGATTGGATTTTCATATTTCATACAGCCCTTGTTGGCTTTCGAATCTTCCAGGAAGTGAGCACTGCTCTCCTGGGTGAAAGTCGGTGTTCGTTGGGTTAGGGTTAGGGTGTCGCCACCTTAACTTTCATTCTTGTCCCGCCACATTTCCCCCTGATGCCGCCAAGCACTGTTAAACTATAACAGCGACCGGTTGTGTATCGTGCCAACGTTAAAGGATGCCTTTCTTAGCCAGCGTCTGACGCCACAAGTCACTGCCCAAGCACCAGATTTCGACGGCTTTGGAGAGACATGGGGCTGAAAAAAAACATAACCAAATTTGAGCTTAAAATAGTAATATTTCATCTTAATAACTGTATTGTATGTCAAAAATAAAAAAAAAACTAAGTCACACCCCAGCCACCTCCTCCTCTGATAAAGAACAGTCCCTAAGTGAAAGCAATCTGTTGGTCAGTTGAGCTTCTTTGCTGCATTTTAGGGGATTTTTACAAGGTCACAAAGTGAAGTTACACTGATCATTTTGCAATCAACAATCACACAGTGGGAAATCTTTTGTTGGAGGAAGAGACTGCAATTTCTCCTCTCACAGTCACCTCTATATTAGGTCTGTCATTAGGTTTGCAGCTACAGGCAATTCTGAGAGATAAATGACATCAGCGACTGAAGTAGATCGATGGAAAATTTGTAATTCATGAGTGTATATCATATACAAAATACGTATGTGTCTAAGTGGAGCTACAGAGTTGGAAACATACTGTAATCCAGCAGCAGAGGAGATGTGTTTGCATTGAGCAGCTCCCCAGTACATGAAGCAATGCTTAGGCAACTGTCCCTGGTTAAATAGTGAATATAGAAATTTTTTTTTTAAAGGCCTCCTTTTGTCCTGCATATCCGTTGGCTCATGAGTTTCTAGGCCATGAACTCCCAAAAGGTCAGGTAAAAGAAGAAAATTGCTTTTAGCAGTGCACGCCTGCCTTGATAAGTGTTGATTGCGTAAAACAGTCCCAACACCGTGTCCAATGAACAGTCCCTGGAGCTGGCTAGAAAACATGCAGAAACACTTGTGTGCATTTTCTACCAAGACCTTCACACAGGAGTTCTTCACACAAAATGATAATTTGTATATCAATTACTTACCCTACCTTTAAGGTCTTGGTAGGAGATTAATATGAAAGTGGGTTTTTTTTGTTGAAGATATTTTTGGGGCATTTAAGCCTTTAATTGACAGGACAGCTAAGCGTGAAAGGGGGAGAGAGAGAGGGAGTGACATGCAGCAAAGGGCCACAGGCTGGAGTTGAACCCGGGCCGCTGCGGCAACAGCCTTGTATATGGGGTGCCTGCTTTATCCACTAAGCCACCGACGGCCCATGAAAGTGTTTTTTTAATGACATCCCAGACAGCATGTTCACTGACATGATCCATAAATTTGTGTTCCACCTGCAGCACCATCTACTAACCTGCACCATTATGCTTCTTGGTGCATCCCTTTCCCCCCTGTCTCCCCAACAGAGGCCCGCTGAAGGCCAGGAGGATGAGGACTTCTCATCTGGATGGCGTGGCTTCCTCTCCAGCATGGGTCTGTCTATCCCAGCAGGCCTCTGTCGCCTGGCCCCACCTGCGCTGCGTCTGGGCCAGCGTCGAATGCTCCAAGGCAAGGCCCCCGACATTCCAGACCATGTCCTGAGGTTGGCAGGAGTCGGTCCAGGAAAGCTGAGGGCAGAGTGGAGCCTGCCGGCCTTCATTACCATGTTCCTGCCCGAATTCCCCCACCGAACTGTGCCTGGGCACGAACACTTTCAGGTACACCTCAATTACATCATAGACACAAACAGCATCTGAGGCTTGATGTGATTCGATAATGCATTACTTGGACTATTTTTACCTCTCCACCTCGCCTGTCTGGTGTTTTCTATCGATTGCTCTCTGTCTTTGTCTCCGTAACTATTTTTTATTCCATCAGGTGTTGAGTTACATCGCCAAAGGTTCATTTGGACCCATTCTGAAAGTGAAGGACAAGACCAAACAGAAAACATATGCTGTCAAGGTGACTCATCTGCTTCAATCTCACATTTTAAATGTGTTTATTTGTTTGATCCAAGCCATGAAGAGTCTGACTCACCGGATGGAGAGCAGTTACAAACCTGCCATTGGCCGGCTATTTCAGGCAGCATTCTCCTCCCCTTTCACTATCTGCTTGCGACTGTTTTGCAAGGGCACTGTTCGCTGCATCCTGCACTTAGCGCCGATCAAGATGATTGTGATTGGTTTAGAGATAAAAAAACAACCTGCAGCGTTTTTCCCCAATACCATGATGATAATGAGTGCTTCCAGACTTTTCTCTAGGGCTGACACAGCGTTATGGAAATAGCCCTAGCCATGAGACTGAGCCATGAATGAACAGCCAGTTTATGATTTCAGAGAAGTATCTGCAAGTTGAAAGTCAGACAGTTGAAAGTGAACGAAATATAGAATGTTATATGCAGGCAAAACTTTTTAAAGACCATGCCTGCTTACTAAAAAAGTTCCTTTTAGTGGTCAAACTAGGAATTGTCATTTGAAATGTAGTCAGAGGCTTTTAACATCCACACACCAATGACATTGTTGTCATAAAATGTCATTGTATGATATAATATGTGCAAGTCAAATTCCTTGGGCTTCTGTGAAGTCTTTTTTCATCTATGTATTTTTGTCGTCTAACAGGTTATACCTAAATCAGAGATCCTAAGACTCGGGGTGTTGGAGCAGTCAAAAGAAGAAGTTATTGTTCAGGTGAGTATTGAGAACAGGCCCTTAAAATCATTGTGAGTTTGTCGATAGAAAAAAATGAACCTTGAAAGTTTTTAGACATCAATATCTCTGAAAAGACAAGGTTTTGGAAATAGCAAATACAGCACACAAATTCATCAGTCATCAGTATACCTGAGACACCTTTCATACAATAATCAATATTTTGCATAGTTAGGGAAACCTTACTATGTATATGTGTTTCAGGATTTATTGACTTAGCATTATCCTTAATAAAAAAAACAGCGGAGGATCAAAATACTAGGTTATCTAAGCTGTATCTAAGTTCTATATGCAGACGATGTGCTATTATACAATGCCATTATTAACTGTATGAAACTCAGTTCCATCAGTGTAAATTAACTTAAGGTAAAACTTGAACCTTGAATGGATTTACACCTTATCTGATATGTTGTGGGTCACACTCTCATTTGTATGAGGAGGTTATAAACTATTTAGGTATTTTTATTTGCTCTTCCCTTAAAAATAATGCATCTGTGCATCTCAATTCCAAACATGCTAATTTTAAGTCTTTGAATTTCACCAACAAGGACTGAGGTTGTAAGTAAAGTCATCCTCAGAAAACTAGTTAGACCCAGTGCAGAGAAAAGTATAGATCTCTATTTGATCAGTGGCCAAAATTGAGATTTTTCAGGTTGATCTTGGACCTTTGCCCGCAGCGTCAGGTTCGCCACCCATTTGTCCATGACCTTGAGGACTGCTGGCAGACTCAGCGCCACCTCTACATTAGTGAGTCGGACAGAGACCAATCCAACCCAAATCCACTATCCAAAAACCCCCCACCCCACCTTCCTCACCTAAACCCTGGAAGTCCCATCCAAACCCTGACCCAACACCTAGAACACGAGATTTCCAATTAAGTCTCTTTATTCTGGTTGTTTTGCCTACAGACTTAGACCCCTACAACCCCAATCAACCACTGCCTGTGCATCATGTATCTGCTTTGCCCCCTTTTCCTCTCCTCCAGAGCATTTGCCCTTTTTTCCAAATCAGCCACTGACTCAGAAAGTGTGACCCAGTTTGTTTGCTACCCCACCCCCTGTGAAAGGAGAGCAAAGTTAGCCCGGGGACCAGATGTTGGACGCTGCTGCAGCTCAACAGGAACACGTGTCACATTCAGAAGAGAGGACGTCCCTGCTTGCTTAAACAATGAATCATCACTGAATCATTAAGCCATAAATGTAGATATGGGGCATATTTGGAGCAAATCAAGTCTATATAAAGCCATCGACCTGTATTACAGAGGGAGGTTCCTTGAGGCTAGATTGCTCCATCTCTAGGTAGAGAGGGATGATCCATCATTCCAGGCACACACCTATTTACTCTTGCACGCCAACCCACTTTTTTTTTATCTTTATCTTTTAAAGCTGTGCCCTCGACAGATTGACAACAATAAATCTACTTTGGTTTGTAGAGGAATATTGTTTTACACTGTCCTCACCTCCAGATTACACTCCTCTCTCCTAAAATCTTTCACCAGTGTGTGCTCCACATCCCGCTGACCTTCACTACCCCCCACACCGCACGTTACATGACATAGGCATGTTTTAATGCTGTCCCTACTCCCACAGTGTGTGACTACTGCAGCACCGGAGACCTGTACACTTACTGGCAGATGATTGGTCAGTTCACAGAGGACACAGTGCGAGTGTTTGCAGCAGAGTTGGGATGTGCGCTCGGTGAGTACTTACATATTAAAAGTCTGTCTTTATGACTTGAATATCCTAATTAGATCAGAAGTGAATACAGGAAGGTTTCTGACCTGTATTTAATTTGAAGTAATTATAAGAAGAGGACTCATTAAAAAGAGATGAACTTTGAAAGGATGTCCCACAGCAGCAAAGCAGTGTCATGGGTTTTAAATATGCACGTAGGATTTGAGCATTGTAGCATGGTTGATTTTTATATGTTTGCTCTTTTTCACTGTTTTTTTGCAGGCTTTCTGCATGACTTTGGGATCATCCACAGGGATGTGAAGGTAAGACAGGGACGAAAGTAGCCATTTATTTTGTGGTGATGATTGTATCTACAGTCTTTTTAACAGAGACTTTAGATAACATCAGCCTTTACTTAACATGTAATAAAGTTAGTTTTGATTTGCGTGTCATGCCAAATATTTCACACATCCATCAACTTGAGATTCCAAGGCACTGCTCACAAGACATTGTCCAGTGACATGGGTAGAAAATCAAATGCAAAACATCAATCAAAACAGAATGTATACACGTCTACTGTGCATTATAGTAAATAGCGGGAGACAGAAAAAACGCCACAGGCCTGAGGTTTATCCTGATAAAGGGTTTTTTCCATGTTTCCCAGGTTTTCTCTACGAAACTGCCCTACTTACATGTTTCGTAACAGCCAACTCAGCAATCTTTGTGCATCCTCACTGCTGGAAAAAAAAACACCTCTATATTTGGTTTTATCTTACTAAACAATAAATTGTGTAGTTCTGAGTATACATACTCTACACACTGAGTGCTTTATACTTTATGGATTTCTTTTATAGTTTTTTCCCTGCCAGTTCAGAGTAGGTCTGCTCATTAACATAAAAAAAATTCCAAATTTGTCAACACACATTGTTAATTACAGTTTGTTCAGTCAGTCCATTGATGCATTTGTGTATATTGCCAAGACTATGTCTCCTTAGTGACAGAAGTGTAGTGCCAAATTCAAATAAATTTGTATTTGGAAGATTGAAAACAGGCCTTTTAACCTGTACTTGGATGATTCTAAGGTGTTGGAAGGTGCATCAAACTTTGACAATGAATATCTGGATAGTTCAAATGATGGAAACTACTAAATGTGGAAAGACTCTGGGAAGATTAAACTGGAAAAATTATATGGTTAATGACCAATGGGACAGTTTCAGCAGATGTACAGTATGTCAGGAGGGAAGAATTTGGTCACGTAAATTGGCTGATTATGTGGTGTAGGACACTTTTAACTGACACGTTGCATTAAAGAAAACAATTTCCTGCCTGTTCGTTTTTGTTTTGGATTGTTGTGTTATTTTGTTAATGATTTTCATTTAAAAATCCAATAAAACATTTTAATTACAAACAAAAAAGAAATCCAAGGTTCAGGAAAAAACTGACAAAAGATTATTTTTCTCAAAACATTAAATTTAGTACATTGGTGAAAATGGATGGGTGTGTAATTCAGTCTTTTTGGCTCTGTTTGTAGATGGAGAACATCCTGCTTACAGACAATGGTGAGTATAAGCCAGCAGAGAGCAGCATAGCTCTGGTGTACAGGAGAACCTTCCAGAGAGCATCCTGAAACTGCACAGCTGTCAGTCAATACACATTAATGCAAACATCTGTTAGCGCTGAGAGGGAGCAGCCTTTGCATCCAATTACATTCGCTAATGAGATCAGATTATGATGGGAATATTTAGATATTTGTAACTGCATCGGTAAGAAGAATGTCATGCCATGTGTGTATAATGATGTAGAGAAAATGGTCTGTTCTAGGACACCTCCGCTTAGCTGACTTTGGTTTGTCCCGTCGCCTGGAGAGAGGAGGCCGGGCTTTTACCATCTGTGGAACCATCCAATATATGGGTGAGAAATATTCCACCACATCCTTTGATATGTTTATCTACAGAGCAGTGATCTGCAGATGCTGAGACATAATAACATACTCACACTGTGTGCACTATTATTCTACGAAGTGAATATATTACTGTACAAACATATAGTACATCCTGTGCTTTGAGCGTGCTCTGTCTGCTCTGCAGCCCCAGAGGTGCTCAGTGGTGGGCCCTACAACCACGCAGCTGATTGGTGGTCACTGGGAATTCTGCTTTTCTCATTGGTCACTGGGAAGGTGAGAGCTTGTTGCTGGTAGGCTTGGTGTGTCCTGCATGATGAGAAGATATTACTCACAGTCATTCATTCAGTGACGTACCTGCTGTAAAAGGAGGTGGTGCTTTCTTTAGGAGGTATTTTTACATTCAGTGATGTCAAGGACTCAAAGTGTTCTTAAATCTAGTCATAAGATGCCTTATGTTTTGCCATGAAAAGTCTAAAATCTATCCTTTTAAATTTAAATTAAACACCCTGATTTATTTCTGTTCATGTACTGCAAACTCTCCTCAGTTCCCCATGCCCCCCGAACAAGACCACTGTAGCATGCTGAGGAAAGTGCGGAGTTTTCCCTATGAAATGCCTCTCAGCCTCAGCTCTCCGCTGGCCTTGCTAATAACAGAGGTAATTACACAAAATGTAATCATATTGCTACAAGACATTAAAATCTACACCTCAGAATTGTTGCCCAGTTGGGTTAGTTTGATGTAGTAACACGACCTACACACGTTTCTCCAGCTTTTGTGCAAGACTCCCTGCCGCCGCCTGAGGACCCTTGATCGTTTCAAACGCCAGACCTTCTTCCGGGGAACAACCTTTGACCTCGCCCTGCTGCAGCGCCAGCCTGTGGAGGTAACCACTGAACATACAGATGTAGCCAGTTTCAAACATAAGTCAGATTAGTGGAAAAACTTTCAGTATTATTTTTCTCGTCACTTCCCCAGGTGATTCTGGAGCTGAGAGAGCGACCAGACCGAGCTGCCAAAGCTCGACGAGGCCTCACTTTGTCTCTGCAGCCTCTCAAAGGCTTCGACTACGACTCCTTCCTCAGCCCTCCTGCCACACCGGACACACAGCTGGACGCCAGCACGCAAACCAACACAGCTGCACCATTCCCTGGCCCGCTTCTCCCATTGCAGCCTGCTCAGGGAAAAGGCCCACGCAGAGAAGTGTTTGTGTGACGGACTTTGAGTCTACAGTATGGTTACAAACACACTAAAATTAAAGGCCTAAATGTATGTATTTCTGCACACTTATTCACCCTTACACACAGGTGTGGTGTGCCTTGTAAAATGTCTTATTCAGTAGAGCCAGTAGCTGGTTATGATTAAGTTTGACCTTTAGTTTAGAGAGGAATGATTTGTTTAAGCCACATTTGAGAACACCATTCCCCCACTTGTATTGGCGAGTTTTATGTTGGGGTTTTTGTGATGTACCGAACACAATTTTTTGCTTTTTTTTTTTTTTACTTGTTTGCCTTTCTCCAATGAGCACCTTTTCAAGCCTATTGTATTTGCTCAACTGTTGTGCAAGAAAGATTGCACTATTGTCCATCTATAGTTTACAAGTGACTGGTCATGGCTGCCCTGTTAATACTTTGCTATCAAATCCACTCCTCATGGAAAAGTCATGCACATGTTTTGTTTTTATGTAGATATGTAGAAAGTATCCAAACTCCCTTGAACAAAATGAGTGTTTTCTGCACTTCTGCCTTTATTTTCATGTTGATTATAAACAGTTTTGGCAGAAGTGTATGAAAGAAACTCTTGCCTCATTTTATGAGTGACTATGCTGTGATTTACTATGAAACATTTCTGTACCTTTGTTAACGCTGCAGTTTAACCTTTCCCTGACTTGACATTTACTGCCTAAATTCTGTAGCAGCAGAAACGTCTCTCCTCCTAACCTGTACTACTTAAAGTCATCACAACATCCGACAAAGATGCATACGCCTTCGACGTCTGCTTTAGTATGAATCATTTCCAACCTGCGACTCAGGGGAGCACTCGCTGGTTTTCCCAGGTCGGCCTTGATTTTGACTCTAAGATGGCGCCCAGCTGTGCAGATCTGAGCTGGGACTGTAAAGGTTGAATCAACAGCAGCATTGTTTACCTCCAGTTAACATTTTGATAGATACAGGGCTTTTTCTATTGACCAAGGCTGCCGTAACCCTAGCCAGTAATCACACCTCCATGCACTTACCTGACCATCAGATTATATTATGATTTTGTAAAATATGCCCTGATGTGTACCCAGAATGCCTCACACATGTGATCCTGAGCTTGCTTTTTTTGTCACCAAAATGCTTATTTATAAATTCCTATTTATAAAGTTTATATGACTATTTTGGATGCTATTTGATGTTATATGTTCTGTTATAATGTATTTTTGTAATTACCATGTAGCACAGATGGAATATTAAACTTCCTGTACAGCGACCTGCTGATTTGGATGTTTTGTCTGCGTGAGATAGCTGAAAGAAAGAAAGAAAGAAAGACATTGCTTCACTTTTCCTATCAGTCACCCCACGTTGTTTCTGCAGAAACGTTGCATGCTTATGTTTGGTTAACGAATGACATTTGTACAGTATCAGCAGTCGACAGTTACTTAAGTGTGTACTTCTACTTAACTACATTTCTATATACATACATTTCTACATTCATATACCAAAATATGTGGTCCACTACTGAACTGCAGTGGTTTCGTGATAGTTGATGAGATGGTTGTGCGAGGTAGATGAAAAAGTGGGTATACTATCCTATACATTCCAGTGGCTTTTTGGTTGACAGATGGGCATGCTGTAAACGGCCAGAAAAAGAAGTGGGTATAAGCTGTAAATTGCGTATACCTTCCACTACACAGCTGCTTGAGAGTGCTGAGTCCTAGTTATTTTGATTTCCGCTCAGAAGTTATAAAAATATTTCCATCTCTTTTTCTCAACGTGGCCTGATAGAATTTAAGTTTTTATTCATTAATCACATGTGCAAGTATCCTATAATCCTTATATGACTTTCACCATCATAAGCATCTATTGAGTACTTTACTTACTTACTTATTCCTCTTCATCCCCATGGGAGATAATGCTTCAATGAGCTCTTTCCATTGCATTCAGTCCTTGGCAGCATGTTGCACCTCTCTCCATGACAGTTTCATCTTTTCCAACTCCAGTGTCACAGTTCTGAGCCAGGTGGTTTTGGCCTTCTGGGTTTTTTTGCTTGGTGTTGTCCATCTTAAGGCGACTCTCATGATCTGACCCTGTTCCAGGGCATCTATTAATATATGGGTAATTTTTTTTAACGGCTTTTCTGGATTGGACATATTTTAGGGAAAAAAAGCCAAACTTGCTGTGCTTATAAAAATCATTTGCACATAGTTTTGAGGCAGTTTCATTTGAGGCCTGGCACTGTATGATAGTCAATTAGCAGTTTTTATTTTTCTATTAAGCTTTAAAAGTTGCATAAAACTAAGGCCTTGTAAATGACCATAGGTCTGATGGCTTTCTGATTTGTCAGTTTCTGATTTTTAATGTTTCAAAGTACAGTTTAGTTCATGCTTGAAGTGGTGGATATTGGTCTTCCTTTTAGACCATTTGCATTTATGGATGAGAAGCTTACCATATAAAATGAGAAAATTCAAAAATAAATAGCCTCTTTCCATATCATTTTTCTCCACAATAAAAAGTTACATCTTTTCTCTGTAAATTAATCTTAGCTTAAACAAAAGTTCAACATCAGTCCAGAAGAATTTTACATAAATGCATTCATAAAATAAATGTATAATTGTTTCTGTGCCAGCACAGCACACAGCATTCAGACAGTCTATATTTGCCTAAAAAGTGATTTGTTGGATAGATTTAGTTTATGATTTTATAACACACTTCACTAACTTTATTGTTGCCTAAACATTTGTTGTAAAAAGTCCAGACTAATTTCCAGTAAATGCTCTCAAAGTGACTTTTCCAGTAGTTTTTGCAGCTAGAAGTTACAGGGCAGTGCATCATGTTTATACATATTATTATCACAGTTGTTTCCTTTGTGTTGATGCTATTTAACAAACATGTGTCTTAATGTTTGACTGTTCATTAGACATAGTACTTCCTTGCAACACTCTCAAAAAACATACAGGTCCTCCATCACATACGATGCTATGTTCTCGTGCTACAAAGATGCAGAATCATGCTGCAACCTCACTGAGCTATGATGCTGCCCTGCGCATGCGCGGAGGAAGGCTCCGCCCCCGGCTCGAGGGTTTTGTAAAGGGTCACGTTGCGCTGCAGCAGTGAAACAGGAGACCGCTCCGCATCCTCCGCACCTTGCTCACCTGCTCTCTCTGTGCCCAGACACCCATCAGCAGGTAAGAATTCACTCTGACTTTATCAGTACGACACCTTTAAACACTCCTCATGTGTTATTGATTATAAAAAGATGATAATATTGATGATAATGGAGAGAGGTGATGCTGCTCTACACCTAAAGCTAACGTTTCCTCCTAGCTAAGTTGCCGTTAATTAACAGCAACCGTTGGTACTTGTTGCTCCTCTGTCGTCGTCTCCTTCGACAAAAACACATTTAAGTTGCCTCAGTTTGGGGTATTTTATTCATTTAAAGTTGCATATTTTAACCCACTGCCGAAATACGCAACAGGAAGTGCGCAAAAATGATGACCTTCAAGGATGAAAGTGCACAGAGAAGAGTCTGCGGCCTCTGCTCTCGGTTTAAATCAGCTCACCCTGTTATTTTATATGTTTGATGAGTGTACATGGAGGTGATGAATCATTATGGTAGCAGTGTCATTGCCTGTGTGTGAGTGTGTATCTGTCCCTGAGCACGTAGACCATCCTTGATGTGATGGGAGGCGGGGCGCGCTGAGCAGGAGTGTAACGTTACTATACTATACTAAATGTCTAATGTATAAAATGACATATCTCACTGCACTAGTACAATTAGACTTCATCTTATAAGCATAACACTAGAACATCATATATTTTCATTCAGTTGACGTCAACACAAACGTCACTGTGCTGTATTTCTTAGTCCTGTCTGCTTTTAAACTGAATGTATTTTGGGTTTGGGCTGTTTCTCAGACTAAACAAGCAATTTAAATATGCAGATTTGGGTTTTGGGATAATATGAGGGGCATATTTCACTGTTTTCTTATATTTTATCGCTATTATTTACTGTGCGCAGTTAATTTTGGCCTCTTTTTTTGTTTAAAATAGCTTAAATGAATGCTGCTCATTAATATTCTGTCGAATAATTGATGAACCAACTACTTGTTTTAGCTCTAGAAAACAGAAATACCCTGAAGGTTCATTGGCTATTTGTACCATCAGACTGGATGTAAATCTCATTAGCATATCATTAGAACACAGGGGACATATTAACATACACTATGATTTAATTTAATGGGAATTCTTATTAGTTTTACATCAACAGGTTGTACTGTCTGTAATCACGTTTTTTTTTACTCAATAACTCTTTTAACCTTAATCCTTTGACTATATCTGCAATGGCAACGCAAAACCTATCCAACTTGTCATGCAAATAATGAAGGTTGAAAAACAAAACAGTTCACCTGTGTTTCAGAGGGCAATGCCACCCTGTGTACTTTGCCCATTTTCACCAGTGTCACCCTCTCTCTGAACCGCAATGCACACAGCCTCGACGTCCGCCACAGGCTGTTGTATCAGAGAGCTGCATGGGAAACAGTGCTCCTGCTAGCTCTGCTGGATCAAGGCCTGTGGATAATAACAGCCCGAGCACAGGAGCGTCCGTCAGTGCCAAGGCCAGCAGCAGCCCGTCTGGTAACAAAACACAGCAGTCCAAGCAGGCTTTTTACTTTTGAGTAGTGCTTCCCCGCAGGAGCCATTTCATCTGCTTAAAGCTCACGCAGCTTGCAATGTAGAGGAAAAAAAAAAAACAAGGTGGGTAAACCTCCAGATGGTGATAATGATACAGCTGAGGCAACAACACCTAGCAACACAAAATACATCCTATTTTCTTTTCCATCCTCTCATTGCCCTCGCACTTAAAATTAAATATTAACTATCTGTAAGTGTTAGAGGTGCCAGTCCCTGCCTACAGCCTGACTTCGCAATATAGTTTGCAAGCTTAAAAATATAGTAGTTTAATGCTTGCAGCAATGCTTCAGAAAAAGACCTGTTGCTGCATGATTGCTATAGATGTAGATTCTGGGTTGAGTTTGATGTTAATGTGTTTGTGGTCTCTAATTGTGTCATGGGATGGTAAGTGAGCCTCTGCAGCATCTGACTGTTGTAGCATGATCTAATCAGCCTGTCCTTTCCAAGGTGAAAGCTTAAAGTAGATGGAAGCACCAGATATGTGATGACTGACTGGATAATGGGTTTGAATTAAACCTGAATTAAATAGTTGTGTCACCATATTAAACGGCAAATGTGAATTTGCAGTTTTTCCTTTGATTCGTCTGGTTTGCAGTATGATTGCTGTGCACTGCATTTGACCGATGGTTAGTTGTGGTGTTTTTTAACATGTAGCAGTCACACTTTGAGTAGTTGGTAAGTTACGTCACAGTAGGGAGTTGGCTGTTGCATCTTGATGTCGCACTGCAGAAATGGTGTTGAGTTTGAACACTGAGCAACAGGCTGGACTGGAAATCACAGAGGGGCACAATGGAGAGACAACTAAATATTGAGCTTAGTGATCCGCTGTCTCTCCCTCTCATCTCTTAAACAATTTTCAAATTTCATCCTAATACTGCCTAATTTGAATGAAACATTATTCCAAAATGTACATTTTTTGTGCCCACTTTAAAACTTTACTGGTGAAGTGCCTATAGTTGTCAAATCTGCAGTGATGTCCTTCATCAGAAGATAACTGATGATGCACACTTTACAGCACTGTCTGGAAGATAAACCTTGTCACCAGTGATACTGCGTGATGAATGGCATCAGAGGGTTACCACTTCAGATCATGTCAGTGACATTTTGCAGCTAGGTCAATTTTACTGATAAGGAAGATGATTCTTAAAACAAGCATTTCAGTGTTTGTGCTGCTGAGGTGCCCTTGAGCAAAAGAAAAGAAATTCCTTCCGTTATCTTAAGATTTCAATGGGCCAGCACAAATTGTTTAAAAGGTTTTGAGACTTGTATCATAATGCCTAATGCGTTAGCAAAGGATGATGATTGGTCGTTATCAATGCAGTAGCTTAGGGTTAAACAGTATGCTGTGTCTCAGTTCATATTCTTCTGTACTTGCACTTGCTGTGCTTTCACACTGGCAAATATGGCAAAATGCAGTGCAGTATAAGTACCCGGATGATGTACGCATAACGCTCAAAAGGTTCAGTGTGGATCACTGGATATTTTTACCCTCAATGGTCGCCATCTTGTCTACATAGCAGAAGGGGAGAGACCACCTAACTTGTGAAAATGGCGGCCGAGGAAGCTGCAG